TGTATCACAGTGGAGTTAATAGTTTTTTTTTCCTGGTAAGTGCAGGCTCTCAAGATTCAGCATCAAATAGTTCCACTGCTGTAGGTTTTGACGAGAGAATGTTGCTACATTCAGAAGTACGGTCTTGTTGTAATACATGTCTTCCTCATACTCTATTAGTTTTCTCATTTATTGTTCTTTTTATTTGTAATTCAGTGTTTTGTATTTAGATGCAAATGTTCATTTTCCATGACACATCACTTAAGCCAAGATCCACAAAGCAGTTTTGCTAGAAGTTTCATGTCAATCCTATCTGCATACCCAAGCTGCAGTAGTTTTAATATGCTATATGTTATTTTTTAGTAGCTATTGTTGCATATTATATTCACTATATTTTGTGACATTAATGTTGTAAGTTGGAAACAGCTCATTTCTGTTTGTGTAATACTTCTGTTCTTTTTTCTTTTCTGGTGGTTGTAATGCTAGAGCAGGTTCAAATGAAGTCACATCCACACCCAGAAAGACCAGATCGTATTCGAGTGATTGCTGCTAGCCTTGCTACAGCTGGTATTAACCTTCGTTGAAGTTCTTTGTGCATGCCAATTGGTACTATTAAAGGATTGTAACTGTGGCTTGCTGTGTGGTAATTTGTCTAGTAGTGGTTCTTGGTGTTATTTTATTTTAGATTGATAAGCAAATGGAAAATTTCAACCTATGCAGGTATATTTCCAGGAAGATGCTATCCAATTTCTGCTAGAGAGATTACTCGTGAAGAACTTCAGATGGTAAGTAGTCACCCATCATATTGGACTTGGAGGGCAAGGGCACACATCTGACCTAGTATTTTATGAATGCACACAGCTAAGGAAATTGGATGTCTGTTGGTTGAGTCCTGATTTTGGAAGATTTTGGGGTTTGTAGTTCACTTCATGACAAACCTTTCTCTGTGCTGTCATGACGATGAAGAATAGACTTCGTGTTGCTAGTTTGTCCTTTAAAGGGAAACAAATTACAGTTATAATTTATAATGTCTTCCTTGGCCTATGATTTGTAATTCTTGGCTTTACATTTTGAAATTAAAGGTTCATTCTTTGGAGCATATTGAAGCAGTTGACCATACAAGCCATATGTTTTCTAGGTATGTTCTTTTGTAGCATTGCTCTCTCTCATGCTAATAGTAGGCAGCAAAGTTGTCAGGATTTAAGTGGCAATCCTCGGACGAATTTTACATATTTGTATATTATAATACGATTACATGAGTTGCTTTCCCAATTAGAGACAAAATTTGCAACACTCAAAATCAAAGCATCAGTGACAAGTTGTTCCAGAAACAGGGAAAAAAAAAAAACTTGCAAGAACGTTTTGACTTAAGCCCATATCTGCTCTCCTGCTGCCTGAGTTTATGGAATTGATATTAATGTAAGAAAAGAAACACATGGGAGAAATATAGCTAATAAAATAGACTAAATAGTATTTATCGAAGCATATGCCTCATAAAAGAAGCAGCATGAATATGATATGAGCAAACATTGAAGTGAGGGTATCCCAAAATTGGATATATTTTGTTCCGACCTATGCACAAAACACTTCTAATGTATTTATCCACCCTACCCTGTTCTTGAGTTAACAACATCAGATTCATTTATTTTGGTATGTAATGGTATGGTTAGTGGATGTTGTCTTTTTATTGATAAATTATGTATGTTTGGCAGTTATTTCACTCCTGACACATATGCCAATGAACATTCAGCACATGCTGCTAGGCTTGCGGCAGGTTTGTGTGCTGATCTTACTAAAGAAATTGTTTCTGGACGTGCCAAAAATGGTTTTGCCCTGGTATGAAAAATAAATACTCTTATTTAGTGTGTTTCAGAGTTATGGATGTAAGAACTCTTTGAAAATCTCATTCTTCTTGATGTTAAGCACCATTACTGAATGACTCAGGTCCGTCCTCCTGGTCATCATGCTGGTGTGAGACAGGCTATGGGGTTTTGCCTCCACAATAATGCAGCAGTTGCTGCATTAGCAGCTCAAGCTTCTGGGGCTAAGAAAGTGCTAATTGTTGATTGGGTAAGGTCAATACTCTGATGTAATCATCTGATTACAATGTTTCTTTAGCTGCTCATATCTGGATAAATATTCAAACCTGAAAAAGTATCCAATAAAAATTGCAGGATGTTCATCATGGGAATGGCACACAAGAAATATTTGACCAGAACAAATCGGTGAGCAACATAGTAGTTAAAACTTTGTCTTCCTATGTGCATTAACTTTTTAACGCCCTACTCATTTCCAGTTATATGGTTGTCTGGAGGAGGTAGTCAAGGGTTGGCTAGGGCAGTTATGTGCATTATAACTCTGAGGAGCTTTGATATTGGGCAATTTGAAGAGAGATAAATATCATGAATATTATGAAAATTGTTCTAGTCATTGCAGCAATTTCATAAAGCAAGTTGAGTAGAAGCTTTTATGATGAACTGAACTAACCCTCCCCCACCTTTGTACAAAGTGTGTATTAAAAAAAATTATGTTATTGTAATGTGTCCATTCTGTTTGTACTGTTCATTTATTTAGTTTTTAGGGCTGATAAGTTGAACTTGTTCTGTAGGTCTTGTACATGTCCTTACATAGACATGAAGGGGGGAAGTTCTATCCTGGTACTGGAGCTGCTGATGAGGTACTAAATTGATTACAATTGGTTTTTGTTTTCATTTTCAGCTACACTTGCAGTTTCATATATTATTCTCTTATGTTTTGGACTACAACTAATGGACTTAAGTGATGACTGCTTCAGGTTGGTACCATGGGGGCTGAAGGATACTGTGTGAATGTTCCATGGAGTCGTGGTGGAGTTGGAGACAATGATTATATTTTTGCATTTCAGCATGTTGTGCTTCCTATAGGTTGTTATTTCCTAACAAGGGACTTTTATCATAATGATAAGTATAATCTTTACTATTTAATCATCCTGTTTTCATTTTGGGACAAATAAGTTATGTGGGTTTAGCTTTTTCTCTCGATTATAAACACATCCCACAACACTCACATGCACATGAATGCATAATGTTTCCTATCATGTTTGATATCTACAATTGCCATGTTTTGGATTTGATTCTCTGATATCCATTTAATGCATTCTGAACTGAATGATTTTTCGCAGCTTCTGAATTTGCTCCAGATTTCACCATTATATCAGCAGGATTTGATGCAGCAAGAGGTGATCCACTAGGATGCTGTGATGTAAGGATTTCTTTTATTTGTTTGCAATATTTTTATCCTCGTCTTTTCTGGTAGAAAAGAACATTGCTGGAGACTGGACTTATATATCTCTTTAGTGTGTCTTACATTTTAGTGATTTTGTTCCTGTAGGTTACTCCTGCAGGCTATGCAAAGATGACACACATGCTGACTGACTTGTCTGGAGGAAAGTTGCTTGTTATTCTCGAGGGCGGGTGTGGCTCATTCTTTTACTTTTGTTTTTCTCTGAGGTTATGTTTCCATCTGAAGCGAATTTAATTAAATAATATTACTTTTTGCAGTTACAATCTTCGTTCAATATCCTCTTCCGCTACTGCAGTAATTAAGGTAATCATTTAATAGAACATCACGCGAGGAAATACATTGTATTTGGATATTCGATGTGTTTCTGACTTGCCTTTCCATGAGATAGGTATTGCTGGGTGAAAGTCCAGGATGCGAATTGGACAACACTTTACCTTCCAGATCCGGCCTGCAAACTGTTCTGGAGGTCCTTCAAATTCAAAATAAATACTGGCCTGCTTTGGGATCCAGCCTAACAAAATTTCAGTCACAATGTAGCATGTACACTATTCAAAACAAAAGTGAGGATCTCCCTCTCCTTCCTTTGTATGGAGCTAGTTTGGCCGAGGGATCATATTTTTTCACATTCCTAAGTTCAATCCTTTATATCTTTGCCTGCAGAAAAACAAATTAAAAAGAGACGGCGGGCTGTGGCACCAATATGGTGGAAAGGGGGAAGGAAAACTCTATTGTATCATCTTTTAAATGGGCATTTCCATCTGAAACGAAGGTGTCTGTGATTGTACACAGCTAGCTTCGGGATCGAGACGGTGTAGTTTTGGTCCATTTTTTTGCACAAGTAGCTTCGGGATGATGTCATTTTTCTTTATCCATGATGTTTTAATAATATATTATGAGAATTTATAAATTTAATTTCAGAACAGCTCTCTCTCTCTCTCTCTCTCTCTCTCTCTCTCTCTCTCTCTCTCTTTTGCCCTTTGACGTTTTTTTCTTAAACAGATCTAGACGGAAAACAATGGTTAGATTGCATATCCAGCAGCTTGCTGTTACAAATGCGTTTAACACCTATATTTTTTCTACACTTCCAACCCTAAACACAAATGCAGTCGATGCATGTAAGCAGAATTCGATTGCATGCGAAACAAAAGTGGGCAGCCATTTATTGATTTCACATGTTCCTACAAAAACGCGGATGGCATTTATGAACATCATCTCTGCTCTCATATATACAACGAGAAATGCAACTTCAAATTTGGAATGTTTTATGAAATAAAACATGATCAATCAATACTGCTACAGAAATAAATGTGGTGGATCCATGTCTCGTGATTTCTTCTCTGCCCTGCTCTCTGCTTTCTGCTGTGTATTATATTATTCCCTTTTTAAATCCACTTGAGACCTGAAACTCTAACAATAAAGGAAAGAAAAGTGGTGGTGTTGTTATTGGTGCATTGTTGGATGTGCCATTGGGTAAGCAACTGGCACAACATATGGAGGATGTGTATGGGGATGGTGCCCTGGAGGAAGCATGACTGGAGTGCCCACAGCGGATCCCATATGATGCCCTGGAGGAGCTGAAACTGGGTGCCCCATTGGTGCTCCATACATTCCTAAACCTGCCATGTGTGGCTGGTGAGCCCTGTGCTTCGCCGACTGTGGTCCTACTCCTATGGTGGTGGCACCGGCCGCGGCGGCACTTGGCGCATATGTATTGGTCTGTTGCCCTGTAATTGGTGGCTGATGCGATGACACATCTCCATTGTTCACACTGGTAATGTCATGGATGCTTGATCTCCTCCTGTCTCTGTTCATGGAGTTCAAGCGGATGAAGTATTTTTGTGCGTGGCTAGCCACTTGGGTTGGAGTTCTGGAAATCACAAAGTTCCTTGAAATGCTTCTCCAATCTCCCTTGCCAAATTTCTCAAGACCAAGTAGAAATAACCTGAAAATAAAAACCCACAATTCAGCCACTGTCAAGTGTCTCCACATAAAATCAAATACGAAAAAAACTTTCATTGCCACATGGGTTTTTGTTTATGAATCTGACTTGACCTAATTCCAATTTATAGGCAAGGGAAAAGCTCCCGTCTCACCCAAAGCTTTTCAATTTAATAATAATTATTAAAAAAAGGCTTCGGATTGCCTAGGAAAAAGTAATAAAGATTGAGTCTTTAGATATGATATGATGAACAAGCAATATATGAAAGTACCTGTGTTCTTCTTCAGTCCAAGGAATTCCCTTCTTTCTCTCTTGGTCTGACCTTGATCCTCCTTTGCCTCCATGGCCGGACGTGTCATGAGCCAAGGCTGAAAACCCACCTCCATGACCACAATTCAATCTCTTATCCGGAGCAGAAGCTCCAGAAGAAGCACGAGCAGCAGTGTCCTTACTGGATGAGGTAGCTTCCTCTGCTGCTGCATAGTTAGGCAGAGGTGTATGTCCAGCCTCAATTGCACTTACATCATCCACTAGCATTTGGTAGTGTTGCTTCAACTCTTCCATGCTCTTGCTTGGAACCAATTCAGCAAGCTTCTCCCACTGCTCTTCTGATTCTTCATCGATCCAATGCATGGCAATTGCGTTCTCAAAAGCTTTGTCTTCCTCTTTGTTCCAAACACTGGCACTTGACATGGTTGTTATTGGTCTTGCTGTTGGAGTGTACGTTTGATTAATCTGCAAATAGGGTGGTTCTTTAAATAAAATAAAAAAGACTCTTAGCCTAGAGAGTTTGAAGAAAATGGTGAAAATGCTAACAAGTTGGATTCACTGTCTGTTTAATGGGTTTGTTTGTATCGGAAAAGAGGAGGGGGGGTGCGTAGGATTAGGAGGGGAGGGGGACAGGAGAGAGAAGGTGTGTGTGTGTAGGATAAGGAGAGAAGTTGTCAAATTATCAATTGAGAAAGAGGACCACTTTAGAATTGAAGGGATGGGTTCTTTGTCATCTAGGAAACTTGAGCAAAAAATCTCTTGCTCTCCTCTCTCCTCTCTCTGTCTCTGTATCACTAGCTGCTGGCGAGGAGAGACATTGGCAATCATGGAGGGAGTGAAATTTGGGTACTTTTGGAGGCCCATGGAAATTTTCAAACCAGCAGCATCACACATGCAACCTCACTGCTCATGAACCATGTTGAATATTTATGGCAATTCCAAATTTCCTAACTCGTTACTGTTCCAAAATTATAGTACCTTTTCACAGAAGTCTCATATAAGATAACAATACAAATCCTGCGTTTGCCTTTTGACTTTCAGGTACAACTCCCCCTTTTAAACTTCAAAGTTTCCTATTTAATTACTTTATAATAGTAGCTTGAACTGAAACTGAGAAGAAAAGCAATTCATTTGAGACTCAAAGATATGAAAATTGCTTTGGAGCACAACTTTCTTTTGTGTTCAATTCTTTTTTCACTGGGACCCGTGAGTGCAACCCATCAACGATTTACTATTGCACTTGCACAAGAGGTTTTTGTTGTGGCAGCAGAATGAAGTAAAAAAAAGTAGTGTGACTTTTTTCTGAAAAGAAATAGGCTGCACTTTTTATTTTCTCTGGTGAATTTGGTAAAAGTTGGTCCGCAGAGAAAGATTCTCTGTCTATATCTCCAAGACGTGGCCAATTCTCCATTTCAAGTTCTCGCAAAAATGCCGCCCACAGATACTTCCAAGCATGGAAATCAATATCATATAAATCTAGACGAGCATTATTGGCAAATTTACTGGTATGATTCAACCCAGCATGTTCTTGTGTTTTCCACACTCTCAGATTGTTTCTTTATACAAATGTATCAGCATCACAATACAGTTGATCATGATTCATCAAATATGTATGGTTCTTTCTCTTTTTAATCTCTGCTAAAAGAATTTGTGCGTTTTGAAAGATAGATTGAATTAGAGAATACTTCTTTTATTCTATAATAGCCCCGGTCTCATGCAATGTCTCTTTGTTGTCCTATAGTGCTTTTTTAAGGCAAGAGGGGCTGAATTAGAATAGAAATCGTGAAAAAGGGCTATTTTAACTAATTTCACAAAAAAAAAAATCCAACACTGGCTTATTAGTGTAATGTTTTGTGCAACTTCAGAAGAAAACAAAAGAAATAGTTAGAATATGTTTTTTGTGAAATTTAGAATGATGTAATGTAACGACTGTGTGGTTTAGGCCAGATATAGCTTTCAATATGGATGAGAATTGAATCTTGTCCTAACCATCTTATCAGTCATCTTAACCATTCTTCATTGATGAAGGGTTTGTGGCTCTGACAAAAGAGATAAAAACCCAACCCACTAATCCACTAATCCGCTAATGATGGATGGATAATAAGATAGATTATATATTCGATTAAAACTTAACTTTAGGCATGCAATTCCAAGAGGTGATGACATGTTGTTGGGAGTCAACAAATATTATGTAGTGGAGGAGCAGATGATGAGGACCCAGCATGTGATTTGTGACGACTATACAAACAATGGAATCTAAGAAATCTTTTAGATTTTAAGGGTAGACAATTATGAACAAATGTCACGTTCAACAGTCAATTCTTGCTCAGTAAATTGACATGTATAATAAACGGGTTACGGTTGAATTGTGGTCCTCCAATTTACCACAACTTCTTTAACCAAAACTTACTGGCCATGCTCGGTCAGAATTCTAATTTACTGTGGTAAAAGAGCTAGATACTTTCTTCATGCCCTAAGCAGCTGCCCAGCCACCTTCAAGGCCCCCACAATTATTCTCCAATCCAATCCAAGGGGTCATTTTCCACAGAGCTGAAATGCCATCTTTGGTCCATCTTGAAAGATAGGGCCGGTGCTCCTCCTCCATTTTGGCATTATATGCCTGCCGTGGAAGAAAAGGGCTCAGGTTTTCCTCTAACATATTGGTCATTTGCACCACAAGAAGAAAAAAAAAAATTAATAAAAACCCTCACATTCGTAAGGGTTAAACAAAATGAAAAAATTACACACCAAAACAAAACAATAACTCGATCTTTCACTTTCTGAAAGGGAGGGGGCTGAAGTCGATATTGAATTTATGTGAACTACAAGTGGGAGGTTGTGCCCAGAGTCATTTCTACACAGTAGTAGCTTACACATTGTTTGGAATAAAAGTAATTTGAATCTTCAACTTCCAATAAAAAGTCAAGTACTGAGTTCCCATGATTTATAAACGACCCAAACTGTATGAAGGTTGAAAAGTTGACAAATCATCTCACGTGTACTGGGAAACGGATCACTCATTCATTTGACAATACTTTGATTCTGGCACATCTGTTTTTATAAAGGAAGAAAGCAAGTTACAAAGAAAAGAAATGGAAAGCTTTAGACATAACCAGCAAGCAAATAAGCACCAAGTATAGATCAATTACCTGGTAGAAAAATGGATCTCGAAGTCGGCTAAGTAATCTCAGACCAGAAACAAAAGGAAGCTACAAAATAATCACAAGTGCCGTCCTTTAACAGCACAAGAAGATTGTTGATATCAGAGGCAACTGATTCCCAGCCATTTTTGCACACTACCTTGGTGAAGTTGACGACACAACCCCAACTTGTATAAGCGGGCGCCCAGGAAGTTTTGGATGTTCAGGAGCTCCTTTTAGAAGAGCTGCCCTTTGTGGATTGAAAAGTAGAAGTTGCTGCATGTCCTTGGGAAGTACATTGAAAACTGCCTGCAGATCTCCCTTTAGTTTTTGGCAAGTTGCACCAGAGTCTGTAGAAGCCCTTCCAGATTGGTCCAGCTGAGAATTGAATAATATTGGAAAAATCAATATAATACATCTTTCTTCATCTACTTAATATCCATAGACCCAAAAAAAACATGAAAATTAGCATTTCAGTTGAAATTAAGTTCTATTCTACTACGCCTTCTGCTTTGGGTACAGAATGTAAAATATCTTGATGTTATTCTGTTTTGGGTACTCCTCATTTCTCACTGCTATTAAAAGCTTACATGTACAACAGGGCTCTTGCACCAGATTTTCCTGGGAGAAGCATTGGCAGATAGAATTTTCTCTGATATAATGCTATTGCTACTTGTGTTGCATCCATTAAATTTGATGCCACTGCCACTAAAAAGATAACTTTGTTGCTACTTCTGTGGTCACTAAGTGGCAAGGGAAATAGATTCACAGGTATAAATGGTCCAAATATCAGGGCACAAAACAGACGCATTAAGAATAGGGTTAGTCAGTGATGTCCTGATCATTCTTGCTTCGAGTTTACACCAGTCTTACGCAGTTACATCAGCAGGAGATATACCACTATCCAGTCAAAACATCATTGAAAGTGCAAACCAATCCCACACCAAAATTCTCCCAAGACCAGATTCCTACAAGAGATACCGTGTGACAAAATAAATAACATCTAGTAGCCTTGTAAACCAAACATCCGGGAACACTTGAACAATTCCACCTTTTGACCTCTCTCATAAAGATATCAGAGTCATCTTAGTAAGTTAAAATAAATCTGAAATTTATCCTAAAAGTGGTTCCAGATGGACCATCACTAAGATATTAGCAGATATAGCATGCTTTATCCTGAATACTTTTTTGTTTTGGGCGGAAGGTACATTGATAGAAGATACCATCCTTAGTGGGGACATTACCTGTATTTCTTCAAGAATATGTCTCTCAATAGCATTGAAGGAATCAACAATTTCTAGTTCAGACATTTTAGATATCAACTGTTGTATGTCAGTCTTCATTCTCGCCTGCCTCCACAGTCTATGTTGTTCCTGTTCAGCAACGGCACGCCTTCTTTGAAACCATGGTGTAAAGTTTGGCCCTTCTAGAAATCGCCTAAACAAACAGGAAACACAAACTGATGGTTACCATAGGTAAAGATAACCCCAAAAAGACACAAGACTGGCAATGGTTGGTTAGGAGTTCTAGTACATGACAATTATGGAATTTAACATTTATTACCGGTATAAGTCCAGCCAATTAGATCTCATTCGCTTTGATACAAACTTCCCAGGTCCTCTTGCTGATAAACTTCCCAGAAATTCATCAGCATTAAAAGGAATGAGAGGAGGAGGGTCTACAAAAGGAGAAGATCCTTCTGACGGTGTTCTAGTCCTAAAATATGGGCCAAAAGGTGCCAAAAAGTTGGTGGTGAGCTCCAGGAAATGCCGGCGCAATATCTCATTGTTAACAACTGACATTGATTCCTCAACCCTTGGTGACATCCCAGCATCTATTAGCCTATTTAAGATAGAAGTGTCAGGCTTAGTTGTTGCAGAGTAAGTGCTCCAAATGGCTTCCTTATGTTCCGTCATGAGACAAAGAGGACCATCTCTCCTCAACTTCACAGCATTCAATAAATTTGAAGGAGAGAACTTCTTCAAGGAAAGCTGTTGAAAACCAAATCCTTCTGGTATACGAGAAATTCTTCCAGTAGAGGACCTAGTTGCAAGGGGAAGCCGGTTTGTATTAGGAGCAGGGCTTCCAACTGAAATAACGTGGGGCATATTACGAAGGGATTTAAGGAAAAACAGGTTAGTTACACCCAACATCATAGGTGGAAAGGTGTCTCCTTCTTGAAGGGAGTTGAGGTGGGCAAATTCAGGGTCATGGATGGTGAAATAAGGTCTAAAATCCACACTGCAAAGTAGAGGTGCAACTAAACTCACAAGACCAGCCACAGCCTCACTGCATTGTGGAGGAGTTGGAGCTATGATAAGCATGGGCTCACCAATAAGTAACAACTCCCACAAAACCCAAAGCTGTAATAACAGACCCCTGAAGATGCCAAACAGATCTGAGTCATGAAAAAGACCTTGTGGGACTGACTGGTTATTAGGAAGGAAAGGAGCCATAGAGGATGCAGACTCTTCAAACAACATTCCATTTTCTGAGGGCAAGCTATGTGCAGGTGGCAAGTTCACTTTCAGTGCAGCATTCCCAATAGGAAGTTCCATAAGCTTACCAGGTACAGGAGAAGGCCACATTGAAACATAAGCTGCGATATGCTCAAGAGCTTTCCTTCCAATGTCAAAATATAGAGGACCCATGATTTGTAACAAAGGTCTAAATACACTAGAGTAAGGACTGTGCGACAAAATGACCACAGACTTCTGCTCCCCACCTCGTTTTAACCTCTCATCATGTCTCTGTCTATTAAAAACATATCCATACATGTATCTTGAATCATTAGAATTGTTGTTACTTTTTGACCTTCTAAGGACTTTTACAGATGGGGACTTGGGAGTTAACTTCTTATCAATTTCAGTCATCTCAGTCAAGGATGCGTCAATTTGAGAACTTCCCCGCCTTCGAAACCGGAAAAAGAATATACAATCATGGATGCTTGAGCGGTTCTGATGCTGGGAAACGGAATCTGGGAATGAACTGAAGGCAACTTCAAGCTCCTCATCTTGTGTAAGACAACCAGGTGGGTAGCACTCTTCAATGAGCTGACCTTGTTCAAGATCGAACCTGATAATACAAAAGGCCACAACCCATTGCTGCAAAGATTCTGGATCAAGCTTTGGACTAAGTTCTGACTTCACTGAAAATGAAGGAGAACGACTCATTTCCAGTAAAATCAAAGCGGGATTTTATTGATTAAAAGGCCACTCCCCATCATCTTTAGCAACCATTTCCACTACAAAATCACTGATGTTTTCATTCGTAGAAAAGCTAATGCCAAACCTTCACAGTTGAAGTTTTGTGATTTTCTTCGCTCAAACCTTGCAAAGAGTAAACCAGAGCCTACAAGTTATATCCCAGAAGAGTTCATTAACTTCCAGATAAGGAAATTTGAGTTGGGGGATTACAGTTTTCCTTCACAATAGTTGAGCATACAATGAAAAACAAAAAGAAGTTGCATTTTCATTTTTTCATCAATTGGGATTCCTGGGCCCAGTTGAATCTAAGTTATCTTATTGCTTACTTCAGGTGAACTTATCACATAACAACACCAACCATCTATTATTTTCTTCCATTTCCCAGTAACTAAACAGAGCGCCAAGAAAAAGCATAGTGAAATTCTACACAACAATCAGAAATTAAAATTCAGAAAAAGATCTATGTAAATGGGTTGCTGGAACTTTACCTGAATCAAGAAACCCTGAACCAAATTTTTGCCGAACCAATCTGGATCAGCGAAAGAAAGACACCGAATTGGCCCAAAACAAATGGAACTCGGTCAGAAATCGAAGAAGTTCAACAAAGCACTGGAGATTGTGGACGGGTTGGTGGCCTGAACGTAATGGCCTCAATGTAAATTGCAGGAATTATAGGGTGCCTTCGCAGAGCATCCAAATCGTTTTCTTTCTTCTCTTTTTTGTGTTGCTGAGGCGGAGTATCCAAATTGAACAAGTTCGCACTTTTGATTAGTTGTAACAAAATTTCAGGGAGGGTCGCTATCGATTCAGACCGCAATGCGGAAAGTATCTGACGCTTTTGTTTCAAAACCCTCATCATCAATGCCTCATCATCTGTATGTATCTATCTGGTAAATAATTGTATTTACTGTACCGTTTTCCTTTTTGGTCCCTGCGGTGGTGCGGTTACCTCATAATCATATGCTGCTATAATTGCTTTTATTTTTTGGTTGGAATTTATTTTTCATTTTCATCCTTTCTTCTCTGCTTTAGATGTTTTGTTAAAATCTTTTTTTTTTTTCTCTTCTTCTCTGCCGTAGGATGAGTTTTGCTATTTATTTCTAATTCTAAGTAAGGGCTGAGTAACCCAACGGGAGACATATCAATCTAATGGGCTTGAGGTGGGTAGGCCAAGCTTCAGCTGCGGAATATTTAAGACTTGTGATTGGTCTGGGGCAAGAATTTGTAATGGGCTAGCATAGAATTTCATAGCCGTGCGAATGACTCCCATAAAGGCCTCTGACCCAAAAAAGAAAAAGGGCTAACCATAAAAGACACCACACAGATTTTGGGTAATTCTCAATATGGACCTAGGATATCAATTTTATCAATTTACACCCTTATGTTTGCAACATCATGCAATTTCATCCTTCCGTTAAGTTGACCATGTGGTCAATCTTTAAACGCTGATGTGTCTACTGTGGGACCCACTTACTAACCTACCAGTTACTAAAAATTTATGTTATTGTTCACGGCTACTGTGCATAGCAAAACAATATCCAAGCGACATCGGAGTTTCTTCTAACCGTTGTCTTCCTCAAGAGCCAACCACCGTAGCCACCATGCGTGACATGAGCTATCCCACCAAGACCAGAATCTCTGACCGACAGGCCCAGTACCGCCGCCAGCCCCCGAAAACCAGCGTAGACGATGAATATGAAAATTTTCAGCCACTACCATTGTTGAATATACTACTTCAGGTCATCGTCTCATAATGCTAACAACGTCATTGAACTCATCGCTTGCACACACACACACACACACACACACACACACACACACACACACACACACACACAAAACCAACATTCCAACTAAATCCCCTAAGTCGTCACCAACCACACCACCAAACCCTCTCTTCTCTTTCAACCCAGACCACCTCACAACCATCGCCTGCAAACAACTAGATCATCTCACAACCACTACGTGCAAACAACCCATTTTCCCCCTTCCCAAACCCATCGCACCTGAAACCATCCCTACACCAAGCCTCCTCCCTCTGAAACGCTAACCCCTCGAAACCTAGATTGTCTATGAAGAAACTATGCCTCCAAAGTTCAACCCATCTCAGGCGGTCAATGTCTACACTAAAGCGTGCAAGAGAGAGAAAAAGAATGAGAATGAGGAAGAAATGGCAGGTTAAGGAGGTGAAGTTGAAGGGTGAAGATGAGCATGGGCGTCTGAAGGAGAAATAGGTGTTGAGAATGAAGGTGAGGATAGTGGAAGAGAATAAGAAGATGAGGAAGAATAAGGATGGGGTAGTGGCGATGCTAGGTTTGGAGTTGGTTGGTGATGGCTAGGGAGTTTGGTTGGAGTGTTGGGTTTTTTTTAAAAAAAAATTTGTTGTTTTAAATAATTGATTTTATTTCACTTTAAAAATAAATAATTTTTTAATATTATTTGTTACATATTTTATTACATCTAAGCTAAAAAGGTGGACTCCGTGTTTGCCACATCATCCCTTAACAGAAGATTAAAAGGTCAAATTCAAGAACATATAAATTGATCGAATTTTAAAACACTAAAGAGTAAACTGACAAAATTAAAATCACGTGATAAATTTAAAGAATGGCTCCGAATCTTGAAGGAATAAAATAATATTAGCCCTTTATTTTATTTATTTTTCTGTCCAAGCACATTATCCAACCAATAATTGGGGCTAATCAATGTGACTATCCCAATTACCTTGCTTAATCTGTCACGTTATTAATGTCCTTATTGAGAGATGTGAAGGCTAAGTGGGGTTTCCTTCCGTATATTAGTACACCACCAATATAGTGTGTGATGACTTTTTTGAACTGCTAATAACAATTTTTTATTAAAAATAGAAAGACAAAAAATAGTCGGTCAATTAACAAGAAACATAAGTTCTTTTTTTCATTAAGCTTCTCGGCACACTCTCAATTGGTCTTTTTACAGTTTTTATTTATTTTAATTAGCTAAATATATGGATATTTAAAACACTAAATTAATCATCAAGGTTTGGGTTTTACTTACCACCTAAATTAATCATGGTTTCAGTTCTAATTACTTTGGAGTAATACTATAATAGTACATTAACTGACCATATTGCAAAGTACTATATTTCATCTGTTTGTTTTTATAGACATACAAGACATGTCTCGGGGGATAATCATTCAATGAATTATATCACACTAGATTTTTGGTGATTCCAATTGAATTATGAATTATGTATTATGTAATGCTTCTTGGATCTATCGTACGTACGTGATTATGAAATATATATATATATATGGGACTTTCTCTATTGCGAAGTCCAAGTGTGCGGAGTGGATGCGGACTTCTATTTGTGACCATTAGATTCCTTGTACGTTGTCGATTTAAAACATCATTGAGAACTTCTATTCCTATCAAAGCTTTTTAGTCTTTTGGTAAGAGCCAAAATTTCCGGCGCTTACACCTCCAATCTACTAACCTATGTTTCCTTCTTCCACCACAACACCTTCTCTTCCATGTGCTTTCATCCCTGGCAATATCACAGCTACACCTCTGGGTTATAATATTTTTATTTCTTCTTTTCAACACCTTCTCTTCTGTGTGCTCTCATCCATGGCAATATCATAGCTGCTCCTCCAGGTTAGAATATTTTTATTTCTTCTTCTTCTTCTTTTTTGCTTTATGATATATGGGTATTTTCCATTTTGCTTATACAAAGTTTTCTGATTTTCTTATGGCATGGGATTGTTTACTAATAAGATTTGGGTTTCGTTGGAAATCACGAAGGTTGGAATCGGAAAAACATAAAGCACTGATGTATGGGTTATATGGATTTGGCTACTAATTGGTCTTTGTTTTTGTATGGTTTTGGCTAAGTTATTCTATTTCGTTTTCTAGTTGAAAGTTTATCTAATTCAGGTTTCATATGCACTTACGAGTTTGCCTTTTGGTTTAAGCATTGCTACAGTATTCTTTGCTATTGTTTACCAATGTCCCATTGACCAATATTTTTGTTATTTTTTGCTTTAATAGATGAAACTTTAGAGATGGGAAGCCCACAGGAAGGACTCGGGACATATGAATTTATGGAAGATACTAATGAAAATAATTCAGATTTATTTTTCAATCCTCAAGTAGAAGATCAGCATGTACCAAAAATTGGTCAAGAGTTTGAATCACTTGAGGATGCCCATAACTTCTATAACAACTATGCAAAACAAGCGGGATTTAGTGTTCGAAGTTATTGTTAGCAAAGGAGTAAAACTTCTAATGAGATCTTGGGAAAAGAATATGTGTTCCAAAGAAGTTTCTAATGGAAGTGAAAGGCGGCGAGGTGTAGTACGAAGTGGGTGTAAGACTAAGACTACGTTTTTGAAGGTAAGAGAAGGAACAAAATACATAATTTCCAACTTTGTGGAGGGCCATAATCATGCTTTGACAGCCCCTCAAATGGTACATTTGTTGAGATTGCATCGCAAAATTTCTGAAGTTAATAAAGCATTGGCACAACAATTTGGTGATGTTAATATCCCAACACATCAACAATTTAGTCTTCTTGAAGTGCAAGCAGGAGGGATGCAAAACATTGGATATACAAACAAAGATTTATATAACTACGAAAGACAATTGCATAGAAAGATGAAGGGGCATGATGCACAAATGTTGAGTGAGCATTTAATTGGTGAGCAAGCAAAAAATGAATCTTTCTTCTTCATGATAGAGGCTGACGATGATGATAGGCTTAAACATTGTTTTTGGGCTGATCCAACATCTAGAAGAGCTTATAAGTTTTATGATGATGTGGTTGTATTTGATACCACTTACAATAATAATCGATATGGTATGGTATTTGCCCCATTGGTAGGGGTTAATAACCATGGTCAAACTATTCTTTTTGGTGGTGGTTTCTTGAGCAATGAGACCATTGAGTCTTTTCCTTGGTTGTTTGAGCAGTTTAAGAAAGCTATGCCTGCTAGTCCACCCAAAATAATTATTACATATCAAGATCCAGAGATGGGAAATGCTATTTCACAAGCTTTAACAGGTGTGTTTCATAGATATTGCATTTGGCACATTTTGGATAAGTTTTCTCAAAAGATAAACACTTGCATTTATAAGGATGAAAATAGAGAACTTCAAAGTTGTGTGTGGGAATCAGACACAAAGGAAGAATTTGAGTCAAAGTAGATGGATGTGGTCCACAAAAGTAAACTAAATGATGATGAGTGGCTAACTTCAATCTATAGAATACGTTCAAGATGGGTGCCAACATATGTGAAATATATTTTTTCAGCAGTAATGTCAAGTAGGCAACGAGTAGGTTCATGCATTTTTCAAGTTCTATATTTCAAAAAGAAATTCTTTAATGGATTTCATACTACGGTTTAATAGAGCGCTTGCTCAGCGACGTCATGAAGAGATAATTGATGATCATGTTGATATCAATGAGCAGCCTATGTTGAAATCTCCATTGATAATGGAGAAGCAAATGGCTGTCATTTATACTCGTAAAATTTTCTACAAGTTTCAAAAAGATTTGTGGAAATGTTTGGCATGTGTACTTCAACTTGCAAGAGAGGATGACAATTTATGCTTTTATAAGGTAATGGAGAGGAAAAAAGATGGTAGCTTCAAGTTGAAGGTGCAAGAAGTTATGGTTGACAAAGTTGCAGACTATGCTTCATGTATATGTAAGAAATTTGAATTTGAAGGAATCTTATGCAGGCATGTGTTGGCATACATGAAAATGAGACAAATTGAGTATTTTTCAAATAAATATGTATATTAAAGAGGTGGATAAGAACCACAAAATCTGATATAGTTGTGGAAGATGGTGGAAGGCAAATAACTACTGAAAGTGGTGATAATTCATTATTAATGAGGCAAACAAGATTGTCTAAACTTGCTTTTTATTTATGGTGCCTTGGTATCTCAAGAGGCAAGTAAAGTTCTACTAGAAAGTTTTGAAGGTATGCAAGAAAAGATAAATTTTGTGGTGCGTAGTAGTAACAATATATGTGGAGGCAATAATGAAAATGCAACTAGTAGTTATCTTTCACCACATTTAATGACCCTCTTCAAGTAAGGGCAAAGGGCTGCGGTAAAAGATTGAAGGGAGCAAAAGAGAAAGCAATGAATAAGAGTAAACGTCATTGTCATGGGTGTGGACAAACAGGACATGACAGAAGAACTTGTACAACTCACATTAATCAGTATGACACTAAGTTGAATTTTTTATTTCGATGTATTCGATTATTTTATCTTAAATATATAATTTCTTGTTTCGTATGCAGGTCCTCTTTGTGCAAGGATGCAGAAAATATTTCACCCAATATCAATAATCCTTCTGTGAAGTAGTAGTCTATGCTGGTGGAAATTGAACTTTGAATGTAGTTGTGGCTGCCTTAGTTCATTATTGTTCAAGCTATAATTTTGTACGAAGCTGAAATTTTGTACTTGTACCCACAACGTCAATTATTGTTGTAGCTTCAATTCCTTTGTCTTGTAATGGAGTCTTGGGACCATCTATTTCAATCATTTATCTGTTTATATCTTTTCTAAACTTTTGAAGATATCCTGTATACAAACTTTGCAAATCATCCGAAGAAGGCATGACTCTTCAAATCATATCAGGAGATCATAGTTAGCTTCAATATCCCCATCTGCAAATGAAATATAGTTAGTAATTGTAAACATCAGGTAAATACAGAGTATAATTAAACAACAGATCAGCCAAGGGCATATAAAAAAATCTCACCCAGCAGTACAACGGGAGCTTCTACAATGAGGAGTTAAAGTGAGGAGTTACAGTGAGGAGACCGATCCGACCGTCAAAACATTTAAAATATTTAAGTCCCATGATTTCTTTACATTTGTTGATGGTGAGATTTGACCTCCTCAAATAACCTCCTCACTTTAAACCCTCATTATAGCCTTTCCGGCGGTACAACACCCCTCACCAAACTCAAAACAAAGTGAGCCAAGTTCATACGAAGACCAAGTACAACCCAAACCCAAATCATCAAAGATATCCTTATAAAAAGAAAATCAACGTAGAGAAGAAGGGAAATGACGTATTGCATATACATAGTCAAAAATAGTAATTGATGAAAGCATCGGATGAAGTCACAGGGAAGAGAAGGTATTGTGGTGGAAGAAGGAAACAGAGGTTAGTAGATTGGAGGTGTAAGCGTGGAAAATTTTGACTCTTACCAAAAGACTGAAAATCTCTTATAGGAATAGAAGTTTTCAATGATGTTTTAAATCTACAGCGTACAAGGAATCTAATGGTCACAAATGGAAGTCCGCATCTACTCTCCGCACACTTGGACTTCGCAATAGAGAAAGTCCATATATATATATATATATATATTGATTCTTGAAGCTCACTATTGGATATGGACATACTACTTGCAGACATATCCAGCTATATTTGTCTCTCGTTGTCGTCCTCATGCCATAAATGTAACACTAGTTTTGGTTCATGATTAATTAGTCCCTCCATTGTCCGTGGTCCACGGTCCTTGTACTATGTATATGTGTCCCATCCCATCCCATCTTCTTCGCCATTTCCATTTCCAATATTAATTAGGTGAATAATGTTACTCCTATCGTATTTTTATATCATCTTATGTGGCAGCTGAGGTGAACAGTCACATCAATTAAAATTATTTAATTTTTTTTCTTTTATGATTTATTCCAGTATTTTTTTTTCTAATTGCCTTAATTAAAATACACTTCATTGATTTAATTAATGTGACATATAATATGGACGTGCCACATCATGTGATATAGAAATGTGAGATAAAAATGTGGCAAGTGTTACTCTAATTTGAAATCAGCCTAACATGCATAATGCCTGAAGCAGCTCCCCTCCCTCCATGTTTTAAAATGAAAGCTCTCAATGAGAATACAGCTAGAGATCTTATTAATTAAGCAAGAAAAATGGATGTTGTTTTGTTGTTTCCCTCTTTTTTTCAACAACTTGACTATCTATTTCCTCTTCCTCCAACTTACAAGGACGTTTGTGTTTTTTTATATATTTTTATGAACCAATAAAGAGCGATACTAGTTTAATTAAAAAGATAAACAAAAACAAATACAAAACAATTAAGGTATCAAATATAGATTGAACCCATATAATAATATTATGCAACGATCAACTTGTAAAACTTTATTATTATAATTTATAAGCTCGTTCGATAATGAGTACACTTCAACTTGCTAGGAAATTACTAATTAATCGATGCTAATCCTGCATGGCTTGGCATTTTAAACTCAATTCCTCAATAAAAATTTGAATCTGTATAAACTTTTCTATAAAATGAATGAGACAAAGCAACGATAATAAGTAAGTTTTTCTCCTATACTCGGATTCGGATTAGTAGACACTCAATCATGTCACCATTGGTCACCAAGCACAGAAAAGTCAATAACATCACAAAGAATTGGAAGAGAGTGCGTTCGTAGATGGAGGCACATGCCTGTCATCTACCACTCGAGAATGTGATGTAACAAACCATGCGCACTCTCCACAGACCTACCACTCAGAGAGTCATGGTAAATATCTGAGTAAAATGTCACGCATATATACTTCAAACATTTATCGCAAAGAACCAGCTGAGAGGCTGAGAGGCTGAGAGACTGAGAGAGACCACATATCCCACCAACCCCCCTCCCCTCTTTGACTGTATACATGTGTGTAGCTATATTATATATACAAATACCTGCATGCAAATGCAAAGCAAGCAGAGCAGCCCATGTTTTAAGTTTTAGAGCTCTGCCTCCATCTCCTTCTTCTTCTCTCTCTCTCTCTCTCTCTCTCTCTCTCGGCTAGCTGAGAAACAACTCTTTTTTCGTTTTCTTTGCTGTACAGAACAAATAAAGCAGAAACATAGTTAAGTTGAATTAAAGAAGGCAAACATGTGCGGAACAACTCCAATGGTTTCGGAGGGTGCTAATAGTAAAACCCTCATCATTGGGTCAACCGGGTTCATAGGCCGGTTCATTGCAGAAGCTAGCCTTGACTCAGGCCACCCCACCTATCTTCTTATGCGCCCCGCCTCTCCTGGCCTTTCCAAGACCACTCACACTATCGACTCCTTACAGGACAGAGGAGCTATAATCCTAACGGTACCTTTCTTATACCTCTCTCTCTTAAAAAATATAAATATATATATATATATATGCTTTAATGGTGATGATGATGATGATGGTGCTTGTGATACACATATAAAATGAAGGGCTCCGTTGATGATGAAGATTTCCTGGAGAAAGTGCTCAAGGAGCACAAGATTGAAGTTGTCATATCAGTGGTGGGTGGTGCAAGAATTTTAGACCAGCTTATTTTGCTAGAAGCCATTAAATCTGCGGGCACTGTTAAGGTAATGGGTCATTATCTAATAGGCCCTTAAACAATCCCTAATATCTAGCCTTTCCATTATTATGGTGTTGCTTGGACTCAACAAATCAAAACATTCTCTTAATACATAAAAGATATGTTTGTTCATAAATAATATGTATATATAGCTATACATATAAACCATAATTACATATAATAATTTACCTATACATATTTCATAGTAGGTATATTATTCAAATGGTAGGTATATTGGATGACATATAATACCTAAATCCTAATCGTAAGTACATCAAAATTAACGTAGGTATATTGGATGTCGTATAATGTAGGTATATTGGAATAGATAATTATGTGCGCTTTTTAAAAATTAAAAACAAGTACACTTTTCATACTAGGTAAATTATATTTTTCATAAAACAAACAAGTAATAGGTACATTATTTTTTCAACATAATTAGTATGTACAGTATTATTCATAAATAATTATAAAGTAGATTATTAGTCATGTATAATTCATAAAAAGAAAATAACATAAACATTTTTATTAAACAAACCGATTACCTAAATCTGAATTTATTGTTAGATTTTAAAAAAAATGTTTCCAAATTAATTCCTACATCCATTACAACCATGGAGATCTATCCAAATTCAATATCTGTCATTATATACAATCCAATTAAAAACTATTTCCATATTGATTCCTACATTAATATACAAAATGCAATAATGGCTTAGTTGGAGGTATTTTTGGAATTTGAAAAGTATAATAAATCATTTTTATGCTTAATTAGGTAATTTACTGAGTTGGATCCTAGTTATGAGTTTTTACTTATACAAATTGGATATTATTTATAGAAAAAAAAAGTCAAGAGTTGTAGGTACGGCAAATTGAATTTGAAGAATATAAGCGAAATTTACTATTAAATTATAGTTGCTCATGTGCATGCAGAGCATGAATATGAAGTAACTGATAATAATATTGTGTGACAGAGGTTTTTGCCGTCTGAATTTGGGCATGACATAGACAGAGCTGATCCGGTGGAGCCCGGGCTGAGTATGTACAATGAGAAGAGAAGAGTGAGAAGGGCCGTTGAGGCTGC